TTTTTCTCACCGGGTCCGGATCCGGATCAACCGGCGGGGTGGTCGAGCCCGAGTTAATTAACAACCTTTTGATATGGACAGCTTAATATTTTATTTTTTTTCAGGCCATAAGCATTTGCGTAAATGAACAATGATTATCTAATTATTATGTCCCTGTACTAGCTAGCTAGTGGATGAATAGCCATAACCTTAAATTACAGAACGTGACGACCGGATCCAGATTATACAGGTACAGCGCCATTTTACGGCTTTAATTAAGCTTACCGTTAACATAATGATGATGATAATAAGACCAAGAAAGTCGAACAATCATTGATTTCAAGGATTGGGGAGAGGGTTAAGTTTAGGTATTATTGGCCTCCGTTTAGCTGCTAAGTGCTGACTTTAAAGGTTAGAGAAACCGGTCTTCATATGTGTCAGTGGTTGACTGATAATATAAACGGAAAGGCTGTGTGTGGGGAATTGGTTGAAGCCTCAAATAGTCAAATGTGGATGCGCTATTTAGCAATGCAGAATATGAAGTCTGGGCTGGTTAACTGATTCTGGTCCTAGCTACCTAGGGATGGCGAAATAATATAATTATACGTGAGTATCCAATCAAATCCGAATAGATTTGTCGGGAGAAAATTCGATCAATATTATCTTTGAGTAAGTTTTTCCTGAACCCAACAAAGCGGGTAATAGGTTTGGTGCGGTTTTCGTATTTTGAGTATCAACATCGAATCCACCCGAATATGTATTCTAACTTATAATTATGTTCTTGACTCATTCACTTTTAACACTTAGCACATCCATATTCCTCCTAAACATTACAATTATCTCTTAGATCTCAAATCCTGTTCATTTTCTTTAAATCTTTATAAATAACGTGACAAATAAACTTTATTTTTCATCGAAATTAAAAAAAATTATATTTTATAAAAAACTTTATACATGATTGTTTGGTAATTATGCTTGTAGATTTCCCTCGAACCGCATACTAGTGATTGGTTTTAGTATGACATATTACATTCTCGCACGATATTGATTATGATGGTAGTTATAATTTTAAAACCATGATTTGTTTATGGTTGTATACGAAAACATGTCTCACCCGAACCGTTGTCATCTCTATTTGCATTTGCATCATGTGACTTAAAATCTTGACCTCGATCACTGGGAACGTTCACCATTGGTAGAAGACGAACACGAATATAGCAGTAGTGTAGGATATAAGAAATCGCGTATTTCAGGCCTAAAATTATCCTCTCTTTCCCTCTCAATCCGGCCACTGAACTCGTTGTCGTCCGACGGTCCGAGCACCACCGGCACCGCCACCTGCTCCAGCTAATAGTGTTCCTTTCTAACGTACTACCTAGTCGCCGGCGAAAGTGATGGAGCTACGTTAAGCTCAGGAGAGGCTACAGCCCCTTCAACTCTCAAAATTATGTAACAATACATGTTTATTTGGTAATAATTTTGAGAAATATATATACTAGTTGTAAGACTTTAGCTCCTCTCTGATATTTTAAATTCTATGAAAATTTTATTTTAGTCTCTTTGTTCAGATTTCTGACTCCGCCACTAATCGGCGATAACCATCTCGCCTGAGGAATCCACTTGGTGTACATCAACTATTGCGCTACTTCAAAATGAATGGTTGTAGTATTCACACTTTGAGCTTACCACTGCCTCAATAGTCCATGTTCGTCAAAATGAAGCACATGTAGGACGGTTCTCTGCCATATATATCAAATAAACCAGCCTGTGGATTGTTTCGGTTAACGCGCCAAATACGTAGTTGCAGTAGTCGTCGTCTACTAATCTTTCTTTTGAAGTATAAGAAATGGAAGTCGAAAAGTCAATGTGTATCGAAAAACTCAGTCAAAAATCAAATTTACGTGAGTGGCACTAACGTAACGTTGAACTTTGGTTCACCGATCAGTTATTTAGAACAAATTTTGGGAAAGAAAAAAGCAAGAAAACAAAGAGTCAGAACACATGCATGAGTATGAGAAATGTTTTAGGCGAAGATTTTGACCTGGAAAAATAGCTGAATTATGCTCCTTTTTTTTTAGATTAAAATCATTCATACAAAATATTACACAATATAAAAAATTGGTCGTCAGATGTGCATCTAACTGATGTATTTGGAGGTCATTTACTTTCTTCGATTGTTTCCGTGAGATTGTTACAATATTTACGTTGTTTCGAGTACATTATTTTTAAGTCACATAAAATACATTAATTAGTTTCTTGATGTCAGAGGAACAATCACTCAAAAAACATAATTTTTTAATTTAACATATTATAATTGATTATTGTTGAGTTTGAATTGTTTGAACTCTTGTAAAGTGATATAATTTTTTCAAAATCTAAAAATACAACCACAAATACTAAATATTATAATCTACAATGCATCAAACTCGCTAAGATGCTAACACATGTATTCTTTGCAATACATCAATTTTACAATAGGATAAGTCAAACGGAGTCCCCTAATGAATGTGTATATTATACAAAAAGGTGTCATTTTCTTATTTCAAAATAAAACATATTGCGTGTATTTATTCTTGATGCACTATGTGAAATCAAATCACTCAAAAGTAACGTTTTTTAAAGTTTGGCTTTTTTTCCAAAAGAAGATTAAATATGACTTCATTTTAAAAAAATTGTAATCTTCACCCTTATAAAAAAATATTATAATTATATAATGTACTTATTTAGTTATTTAAAAATATACATATTTTACCTATACAAATACATCAATTTGTTAAACATGCATTCAAAAAATGAAAAAAAGGAAGAGGAAAGCAATCTTCTACCAATAGACACCAACAAGAGTAACCTTCTCGGTCTAGGGGTTCCCGTTTCAACACTGAATCACCGCATTGTACCCGAGTGATGTTCTGTGATGGGTCGTTCATCTCAGACTCGAGTTTGACGACATATGGGATTACTATTGCTAACTCTCAGGGTCACGTGTACGACGGAAACACTGAGACTTTCCTTTGTTCTCATCCAATTAAGGAGGAAGTTTTTGGTCTTCTCAATGCTACCAGGGTTGCTTCTCAGGATAACATCCCAACATGTATTCGTACAGATTGTCAGGTGCTTTCCTTTGCGCTGCATCAGGAACCCTTGGCATGTCCTTGGATGTGTCGGGCTACCATTGCGCATATGGTTCTTCTTCTCCGGCGCGCACCATCAATTCGTGTTGAGTTTGTCCGTCGACGTTTGAATCGGGTAGCGGATTGGGTGGCACGACATGGTAGGGCATGATCGTTACCAGTGGATTGAGTTTTAATTGTCAATATTATTGCTCCACTTTTGTAATGTGACCATGGTCTCCCGGTTTCGGATGGAATAAAAGGTTGTTTCTTGTAAAAAAAAAACCAAGACATTGAACGCACTTGATTTCAAGTGTCAGATTACAACGCCGCAATGAATTATTATGGGTAGTTTGTTATTGTTAAATAGATGTATTGTGATGAATATGGATAATATATATTATATATGTATTAATTAAATTGATGCATTTTAAAATACAATGTTTAATAAGATGATCGTGTATGCTATATAAGCTAAATACCGAGATATAATAATCTCAGCCAAAACTGAAATATAACAATTACTCATTTTGAGTGATAATTTGTTTCCTATCACAAAAATAATTTATGTAATGTGGATACCAACTTTTTTTTAGGAAAAAGATGTATTCTAAACAATACAAATATATAGGTTTGGAAGTTTGGTATCGATATTTGGGATATACCGAATACCGTACCGAATTTGTCGATATTTGGTATTACCGAGTACGCGTATTTTTTATTGTGATAGAGATTGAGTTTCGATTGTTATTTGGTATTAGAGATTACGTGATTGGGATCTGTATATATCGAAATACCGATCAATACCAAAATATAAGTTCGTGCGTATTTTATCTCTCCCAACTAGACTCTCTCGCTCACTACTTCCATACCTCAATCGCCAAGATGGTCAATCAATTATACATAGTTCAATCTGTCACTATTTGACAACTCATACCAAACTCATTGTGTTACTTGTAGTATGTTTATGGGTTGCTTAGTCGTTTCTTGTTTTAGTTTGGTTATTTAGTTTGTTACTGTACTTTTTAGACACCAAAATTTTATTGTGTGTTTGTTATTATACTTAAAATTTTCCCCATTTATTTTGCACGAGTGTTGGCAGCACATCTTTGTTTGTTTTTCTATGTTTTGAGAATAATTTGTGAGCTAGTATTTTTATTTGTATATTTGATTTGTGATTATACCGATACCGATACAAAATTTTTGAGAATTAATTTTCAAAGGAAATTAATTTAGTATTTTGTATTATACCGATACCGAACAAAATTTTAGGGATGTGATTGGGATACCGAATTTATTTCGGAACTGAGTTTAGAATATAATCGATATTCAGAATTTCGGTATTTGATATTGGAATACCGATACCGTACCGATTTAATAATAAATAACCAAATATCTCAAGTATTACAAATTTTTTTTTTGACAAAAGTAAAGAAAAGAAGAAGTGAAATAGTCGTAGGAGAGAGAGTTTGAGGCTGTTTGATTTCCATGGTATAACTAGCAGGCAGCAAGGCAACAGCGCCAAGCAGCCAATTCCTTTCTTCTCCTCCTTACCCATTTACTCTGTTATTAGTCTCCTTCCTCCTCCTCCCTTGTTTTTTGGTCTCTCCAAGAAAAACCCTTTCATCTCCCTCTCTCACTCATATATTCTCGCCACATTTCTCTCCTTTTCCCGTTTCCTCATCCTCAACCCTTCAACCCCCTTTCTTCTCCCCTCTCAAATCCCTCGCAATTTCCTCCCATCTTCTTCTCCAATCTTCACCCCCCCTGTTTCTCTGCAATTCCCCAATCAAATCATTTTCCGCCATTTTCCAAACCTCCGCTTTCCAATTCAATTTGAATGCCTCTCTCCTTCCCCAATCTAGGTTAAGTAAAAAAGAAAACGGAGGAGGATTCGATTATCATTAAGCAATGGCGATTGATCTCTGTTCCGAACCTAGTTCCGCAATCAGCCCCCGGATTTCCTTCTCCCACGATTTCTGCCTCTCCGAATTCGATCAACAACAGCAGCAGCAGCAACAGCACCCTTACCGATCCGCATCCCCCGGCTCCAGCATCGACTTCGATTTCTGCGTGAGGAAGAGCAGCTTCGATCACGACCCTTCCTCTTCCGCCGACGAGCTCTTCTCCGACGGCAAAATCCTCCCCACCGCCATCAAAACCGCCGCTGCCGTCCGCCCCAAACCGTCTCTGCCTCCGCCGTCGCCGCATCCTAAGCCGCGGATCGAAGAATCCTCCGCCGGTAAAGAAATCGACGATAATCATAGGCGGGAAGAGGACGAAGAGTCGAAGCAGCAGAGCTCGTCGAAATCGTTCTGGCGGTTTAAGCGGAGCAGCAGCGTGAATTGCTCCACCGGTTACGGGAGGTCGTTGTGCCCGCTCCCGCTTCTCTCGCGGAGCAATTCCACGGGATCCTCCACCGCCAGCGTCAAACGAGCCCCGTTTTCCGCCGTCGCCGCCGGGAAGCAACACAAGCAGCAACCTGCTGCAGCAGCCTCGTCGGACCACAGGAAGCCGCCGCTGAGGAAGGTTGGCCACGGAGGGTACGGCGGCAGCGGGGCGTCCGCCGGGGTACGGGTGAGTCCGGTGTTGAATATGCCGTCGGGGAATCTGTTTGGGTTGGGCTCCATTTTCTCTGGTCATAGTAAGGACAAGAGCAAGAGCAAGAAGTAAAACGGACACCGTCGATGATTTCCCTTCCTCCCTTTCCTACCGTCGGATTGTTTTCTCTTTTTTTTCCCCCGTTTGTTTGTTTCTTTGCTTCGATCTTCATTTGTTTTTGGATTGGTGAAGTGATTTTGTTCTCTCTTTTTTTCCAGTTGAGCAAATTCAAGTGTGGATTTTTTTTTTCTCTCTTTCTTTTTTCCTTCCAATTGTCTAGCTCACTCTGCTGAATTAGCTTTTGTTATTTTTTTTTTGTTAGTTGCATTATGAGGATGTGGAAGATAGGTTCATAACATAGAGTGTTTGTACTGAGGGAGAGAGTTTAAAAAAAATTCATAAATAAAATATGGAGTTAATGTAAATGATATAATAAAATTCAGTAGTTCTTTTTACGGACGAATATGCTGATTTTTGTAGTTAGATGCTACTGAAAAAATGCAAATACGAGATTTTAAAGTTTCGGTAGTTTTTTCATAGATATTTTTTCTTAGTCCTCTTGAAAGAAAATGATGGAAGGAAGGCCAAAAAAAAAAGGTCTTTCAATTGAATTGGAGCGGGAATTTCTAAACTAATATATGTATTAGACAACCGTATTCCTTCCTTGAGCGTGTCTTTTAAGTTTAAAAAAAATAAAAATGGGGGACAGGGAAGGAGAACTGGAGAAGAGATGGGAGAAGAAAGATGCAATGGGATAATGATAATGATGCCCCTACATATAATTGAGGGGCACATGGTGTTTTGGAGGACAAACAAAACAAGACAGGTAACCTACGTCCATTGCTTTACATTACATGGGTTGTCCCATTCCATCCTATTCATGCTTTCCCTATTCCAATTTTTTTTTTAAAATCACGAAATAGATACTTTAGGCAAATTGAAAGAAATTAATTTTAGTTAACAAGCGTGTTTTGGAGTTAAATGGAAGAATTCTTTTAAGAATTTCGAAGTTAAACGTGCTTATTATGGAGCAATGCAGGGATGGGTGACCTCTTCGGAAGACATCTTGATATGCACGCCAAGACAAAAAAATCGTGCGGGTCTAGACCCAAAGCAGACAATATCTTGGTCGGAAAAAAAGGAATGGGATATTACAAGTGGTATTAGAGCATCTATGCGTATCTCTAGGGCGATGGTAGGGCAAACCTCAACGAGGACGTTGAGTGACGGAGGGAGTGTATGTAACATCTTAGGAAAAACTTACATCGACAAAACATAGGAGAGATCCATGATTAATAAGTAACAAACCGACTATAACTAAGAATACATATTTTGGGGTTAAATGGAAAATCTTTGAAGCTAAACGTAATCACCGTGGAGCAATGCAAGAATGAGTAACCTCTTGGGAAATCACCTTGACATGCATCCCCCAAAGAAAAAACTGTGTTGGTCTGCCCCCAAAACGAACAATGTTTTTATCTGAAAAATGTTCGGGATGTTACAGTTCAAGACTCTGACATGAGTCCAATACGAAAGTCAAAACCATTACACCCTGCAGTAAAAAAAAGACTTCATTAACAGTCAGATGGATGACCATATTATTTTGTCTACCGACAAACGAAATCCGCAATTCTGTGAAGCAATTTGCATTGAAGGTCCAAGAACACCTGTTTCCTCGGGAAAACCAAATGCCACCGCCGGTGCAGAATTCGTTCCCGGCGATGTTGATTTGATGTTTCGCGGTGGAAACTCCTGCGGTGCCGATTGAACGGATGCACCACTATTTTCTGACCAAATACCACCGCCGGCGTGCCAAACGACGATGTTGATTTGATCGAATTAATGCGCCACTGACTTCTAATCAAGACGACTGTGACTACGGTTCACACCTCTCCAAACTACGTTCGAACGAGGGTGTTTGAGTTTTTGAGGAATCTACGTTACGACTACTCCTATGGAGATTCCTGTGGAGAGCTCCGCGACTACGCTACGACTATGACTATGGAGATCCTTCCTGGAAGGAGAGCTCCGCGAAGGAGATACAGAGAAAAAGATAAGTTTGACAGAGTTGTTCTGTGTTGATTTTGTTGTCCTTTTCTCTCTCCTTGCTCCATTGCTTTTATTCGAAAAACTACTTCGTAGCCTTCACGCTCGGTGGAACCGCTTCCTCAACTGCTCCGTTGTGAAATCCCACGTGTCTCAACTGCCTTGATCTCCTCTTTCTGCTTTGCGTAAAAATCACGTGCCATCGAAATCGCTCCTGTTTGCAGAAACTTGGCGAAACGACATTGAGCCAAATCATACAACCTTGTCCATGCAACGATGTCGTTTCACCAATACCGCGGTATCACCTTTCACTAATCGATGCTGACAAACAATGTCGTTTTCCATTCCTCGACATTGTTTCTTTTTCAACCAAACGACACCGTTGTGCTTGCCAGGCCTCGCCAAAATCCAAACCATTGTGGTATGGTTTTTAACTAAACGACGCCGCTTAGTGACACTGCGGCGTTGTTGATGCCTTAAACGGTGTCGTTAGTAACTGAGCAGCACCGCTTGATTCTACCCGCGACATCGTTTTAACATTAAACGACTCCGCTTCCAGCCTTGCGGTGTCGTTTTCTTTCCCAACCAGCTCCGTTTGTTTTTTCTTCCCCGACACTGTTTATTATTAAACAGTGTCGCTTGCTAATCCGCGGTACCGTTGGGCCTACTCGCGGTACCGTTTTAACTCTCCGCGATACCGCTTGTCTCCATGCGGTACCGATTTTCCCCTTCCAACAAGGAATAAAAATATTAATAATTATAAACAAAACTCCTTCCCCAACACCTACACTGCGCGGCCCCTCTCCAGTTCCGCGGTACCGCCGAGCTTCCTCGCGGCACCGATTTTCTGTTTCGCGGTACCGTTTTAACTCCCCGCGATGCCGCTTCTCACAAGGAATAAAAAATAATAATTAAATAATTAAATACTCCTCCTTCAACCCCATTAAACACACGACCCTCTTTTTTTATTTTCGGCAAGCGGTGTCGTTTCCAGTGTTGCGGTACCGCTGGGCTTACTCGCGGTACCGTTTTTGTTTCCCGCGACAACGCTCGACTCCCAACGACACCGTTTTTACCCGCGGTATCGACTTAAATGCCGAGACTAATTAATGCGGCATTTAATTCTGGCCGAATTAATTTTAGGTGTAAACAACACCTCAGGTTACTAAAGTGTGGAAACCCAGCTATTGCAACCGTTATCTCGGATGTATTTTTAGATAGTCTCGTTCTTTAGATGTTAGTTTTTCTGCTAGGTAGCATGTTGTAGTAGGTGACTGCTCTGGTTTTGTTTCTTTTTCCCTCTGGTATCTTTACAGTTTTACTATTTGGGGTGTTAGACCGCTTCCCGTTTAAATGGTCCTTTGGCCATTCTTACTTGATGAATTTTTTTTTTTTTTTTTTTGACAAAAGATATATATTAATCAATAACAAAGACAGTTACATCCTGGAACACAGCCAGGTCTGAAAATCAAAACTACGACAAGTAGCCGGGTACAACGACAGGGCCTTCCTAGCCACCAAATGGGCTACCCTATTACTACGCCGACCTACAAATCGAATACTCAATCCCGGGTGGAGTCCAAATAATTGCACCACCTCCTTAAGCACAGCCCCCACCCTACTATCCTCCATCTCTCGCCGTCGAATCTTGTCAATAATCACCTTGGCATCTCCTTCAAAACAAACATCATGCACCCCCTGACTTAGGCACCACCTCACAGCCTCACGAAGCGCCAAAACCTCCGCAGCCATAGGGTCATCAATAGCTGGAAAATGCACCCCCTCTGCCCTCACGCTCCCACCGTCTACCCTTAGCACCATACCCCCCGCCGCATGCGAGCCCGCCCTCGTCGCCCCATCCCACGAACAGACAAACCCAGCACCCACCCGCGGAGCCGGGAGGCTCTGCCGGGCCACCACAGCCAAGCCAGGGGAAGGGTCGCCAGGTAAATGCATCCATTCCTCCACCTGCTGCTGAAATTGACGAACCAGCGCTAAGAAAGCAAATTGTTTCCCCTCAAAAACTACCCAATTCCGGGATTTCCAAATCCGCCAGAGGACCGCAATCACAGCCATGAACAGAGAAGGCTGGTGCAGAAGGGCCAACAATTGTTTGAGAAAAAGGGGAAATGTCTGCCGCGGAAGTCCCTCACCCAGGGCCTCCAACCCAGAATAGTCCCACATAGCTCGAGCAACTGGGCAGTACAGGAACAAATGCTCCAAGGACTCCAACTCATCCCAACAAACCGGGCAGCGCCGATCAACCGGCACCTTCCTCTCACCCAGGGCCTCCATCGTAGGTAGGATGCGATTAAAAATTTGCCAAGCAAATATCTTCAATTTAGGCGGAATATTCGCGTCCCACAAGCGAATCCAACTACCTTTATCCATCCAACTCACCATCTCCCTCCACCGTCCCGATCGTTTCTCAAGATTGACCGCAAGGTGATAGGCAGACTTGACAGTGAAGATCCCGTCCGTAGTACCATGCCAAATCAGTTTATCCTCAATCTCCTGCACTGGAAGAGGGATAGCCCGAATAGCCTGACAGGTACCCGGATCAAACCACTGGCTCAAACTGTTCACACACCATCCCCCTCCCTCCGGGCACATAACCTCGGCAACACGCGGAACCCTCCCATCAGGCAACACCCGAGGATTATAAACCGGAATATCAGGATGCATCCTAGGGATCCAGCGAGAGTGCAGAAGAGGAGCACTCTGCCCATTCCCAATTTGCCACCGGAGCCCAACTTCGAGAAGTTGCCGCCCATAAAGGATACTAGTCCATCCCCACGAGGGTCTAGACCTCGCCCCGGCCTCGAGGAACGTCCCTCTTGGATAATACTTCCCCTTATACACCTGTGCTAAGAGGGATTGAGGTTCCGTCAAAATGCGCCAACCAATTTTTGCCAGCAGCGCCTGATTGAATTGCTCAAAGCGACGAAACCCCATTCCCCCCTCATGCTTACTGCGACAGAGATTTCTCCATGACATCCAGTGAATCTTAGGCTGCCCCTCACTCA